CCGTTGACGTTGCTGAATTCGTTGGCTTAACGTAGGCATAGTAATAAAAATCCGCAAATAATACAAGGAAGATGACAGATTGCGTTATACACGTCACCGCTATCCATCGCGGATATTCACAATCCGTCCAGAATATTTGGCTCATGTGACATGCTATTATGACGAACTGAATCATCTGTAGCTGAGTGATATGCTTTTTCCACGATATCATGTTTATTTTCATAGATGACAGTAAATAATATGTGTACATTATTGCGTGGACGAATGTGTTGATTAATCCTGAAACAAAGTGTTAGTGTCCGATGAAGACTTCGACAAAGTGCAGGTTCTTGCATTTGCATACTTATTACACCATAATTAACGCTTATGGTATAATAGGAAAACCGGTACCTCTTTGGTAAAATAATGGATCTCTAGTACTGGACAATTATTTCAATTAATTACAACCGTTCAACAATCAGTAAAAATTCATGAATATACTTCCAAGTTTGTAGAACAAATGTATGTAACCAAAGTTGGACAATAATAATATATAGTACAATTTATTTATGAAAAAGGAAACACAGGTCGAGGAGAAAACTTCAAAAAGAAAGATCAGTAGAGCAGTAAAGTCTCATTATTGTACAGTACAGTTTAAATATTCAAATAATTCATCGCACCATTAATTCTTTTCGTTCGTAATAGTTGTAAGTATGGGTATCTTGCTGGGAATATTCCGGATTTCGACCAGCAAGGGTTAAATATAGAATTATACTTTAATTTTCTGTATATTGAGTAGAATTGGAACATCCTTGACTAGAATCGGAAGAACTTCCAAAATGACACATTATAATATCATTCTTTTTCGAATACCGATGTAATAGAATACTATTTAAAGTGATTATATATCAATAAATATTATTTTTTCAATTTCTTGCAATTATTTATAGTGGTAATATGATGCGCGGGTATTTTAAATTAAATTGGACAGAAAAATATTCCATATATAGATAAATTTATAAAGAATGAGAAATTAATATTGTTTACCACTGAACTTAAAATATTTGCAGAAAAATTTTTCTAGATTATTTTAAAATCAAATGCATACGCTAATCGATCACACCGATGACTGTACTATATTCGAGAATAGTTCATCTTTTCGTCAAGGTTTTCAGGTTTTCGAGCTTCTTAATGATATTTATTAAAAGTTTAAATATTCGGTGATCACATATACCACCATATAACATTATACGTACCAAAAAAAGTACCATGACCACTTGGATAATATTTAACGCCAATCCAAGAAAATACTACCATACCACAGTGGTGATACACGTGAAGGAAACTTACATGACTTTGCTTCTTTCTAAGTACAAAGAAGATAGTGTCCAGCCAATCAAAAATCTTAAGCAGAAAATAGTACCAACATACTCTGGCCACCTGTTTATTGAAAGAATATAACGTGGTTATCTTCAATGATTTCCTCTCTCCTACTTTATTTTCATATAAAGCAGCAAACAAACGCAGATTTATTATTTTACTATAATAACTTTGCGATATATTCCGATTTGTAGAAATAAATATAGATATGAAATTAATATAGATGCTGAAGAGCGCCATTGTGGGCAAAGAAATAAGATGATGGAATGAGGGTCTGTGACATGTCTAATCTATTTCTTAATTATTAATGAATTAAATTCTTATAGAATTACCTGGAAAGCTTTTGGTGTATATGAAAAATCGACAGGTTCGCATTGAAAACTGTAATCTTTCCACCACGCTAGATATAATGCCTGTGTAAATATAAGGCTCATTTAATTTTTCACAATGGAACAATATATATAAATATATTTATTTGACTAAGTCATTCAATCCAAATATCAATTTTTGAAGTAGAAGTTAGATAAGATATTACATTGTTTTTAAAAATATCTCATTATTAATGCTTTTGGCTCATCGCTACAGTCGCTTTGTATGTTAACGATAGAAACGAAAAAAAGCATGCTCAAATTTCTTATGNTTCTTATGATATATGTTTAAATAAAAAGACATACACCTAAAATGACATTTGTGTTCGATTCAGCTTGTAAAATATAATATAATTCTACTTGTAAAATACTCTGAGAAATGTTACATTTCACTAAAAATCAATACATAATCACAATATTAATTAACATTAATACAACCATACCTTCAAATCTATCTTAATTCATAATTTTGTTACGTTAATTTTACAGTAATTCACAATTGATTGTTCGAGCAAATAAAAATATTTCAGAATATTTT